ACTCATCTCCTATGGTAAAAAGTTGGTGCATCCATTAAGATTCACCCATATGCACATATTTTTCCAACTTTATTTAACTGCGCGCCGATTATTTGTCGGATTTGAAACACAGATATTGTTGGAATTAAAACCCTTCCCTCCCCGAAATTAAATCAACTCGATTTAATTATCTAAAAACTGTAAAGAATTTATTGCAAAAAACATTACCTCAGCCAGGATTCGAACCTGGAATCTCCCTCATTTCGTGTAGGGCGTCGTACCAATTCGACTATCGAGGCATGTGGTAATATTTATCGCAATAACCAGTAAATAATAATTTGAAACGTCTTTTTCAGACGACGTGATTGAAAAACCGCATTATTTCGCCCGCGTAATAATAATCTGAGAGCCTTCTAGGGAAGGGTTTTAATTCCAACAATAACTGTGTTTCAAGTCCGACAAATAATCGGCGCGCAGTTAAATAAAGTTGGAAATATATATATATATATATATATATATATATATATCTAAGTGTGTATAGAGAGAGAGAGAGAGAGAGAGAGAGAGAAACTGACACAAGCACCTTGTTACGGCTTTATGCCCCTTTTTCATACGGTTTATCATATTCACTTGGCGCAAACCTCTTAATATCACTTTGTAGTAAATAATACAAATTGAATATTATTAATACGAAACACGTACACTTGCGCTTATTTTTACTTTTTTTTGAAAAATTTAATTATAACAATAAGTAATGCGCACCTAATCCAAGGTCCCTTCTGAACTGATCGGTGATCCTGCCACTCTTAAGGATATTCTCAACATTCTTGTTGAGCTTGCAGAATCTTTGGCATACGTTGTACGTAGCAACAGCGTACTGAACTTCCATCATGATAATAACTATGTACATGAAATATAGGGGGACGTAATCGATCGGACCTTTGTCATTCAGCTTTTTGTTTAGCTTCGCCTCATAATTCCATGTGTAGATATCAAGGCACGACAGGACAATGGAATAGAGAAGACTGCATAACGTCAAAAGGATTGTATATCGGCGTATCTTCTTCGATGAAACAATTCCCAGTTTCTCGTCACACTTTGATACAGATAAACCGAGTATGATGAATATCAATATCGATCGCAATAATGATTAATTATGAGACTTACATCGACCAGTTTATCGATGATAGTTTGCACATATTTCCAACATAGAATTGAACCAATAATGGAGACGGTTGTGAGACTCAGTATACCCACTACATCGCTGGCGGTGACAATTATTAACGCGTTTTGTGACTTGAGTCGAGCTCCCGTCCTGCTATGCTTCCATCCATCTCTTAAATCGCGCCAAAAACCCAAAAGGTGAGCGCCAATCAAGCATATCAATAGGCACACACTGCAACACATTACTGTAATTATTTTGTCTATTTATAAGAATTAATCTTAATGACATATTCCAACACACATAAAATAACTTAAAAAAAAAGATCATCACCTATTTTTTCACGCAAAATACGATTATAACAAAATACTACAAAGTTACAAATTTTAAGAAAAAGAACCCGGACCATTCTTATGGAAAAATGTCTTTCTGCGTATTTGGCTAATTTTTTGATAGTTGTAGTTCTCGTCATTCTAAACAAATGTCTCAATGGGCACAACTTGATCCTATGAGCCGTTTCCGCGCTATAAGCCTTGGAAGGTCCAGATTTGACGTGTAAAGGTATAAGCTTTTTGACTCGATATATGTGACTCTCGGTCTAGTGTGTGTGTGTGTGTGTCTGTTTAAACCTCTTAATTAATACGGTAATCTATGAAAAACAGGAAGCAGGTTCAAATATCAATCCATTTCACACCTTTTACCATAAAAATGATTTCTCTCATCGGGTATATATTCCGAAAGGATTTGACACATCTAGCATCGAAAGTTAACGAAACAAAATTTGCACCAGCGAAAACTTTTAACAAAGGTAAGAGAAAAATATAATAATTTATTTTATTTTATGTTTACACATTTTAAAAAATAGTATACTTTTACAGAAAATATGAGACCACCGGTAGAATAACCGGCAGTAGATTCGCTGGAGGCCGACGGGGTTCTTCCCCAGCATTATGATGAGGATGATGGACCATATTACTTCTTCAATAGTTACTATTGTGTCATCGAGTCCCTTCTATAATTCTATATATGGCCGGTACACTCTTGACAACAACTGTGCGAGGCGTGCTTTCTCGCATCTCCTGATCGTCATCGAGTGCCAGGGTACGAGTATAAGCCGAACTGGCACGCTTTGATGAACTCACTGTACGGGGCAGAAATGTCCGTCAAAACTGAATGCGAGAGTTGTGGGCGCATTGTATGTATTGTAAAACGAGCTAATAAATGCCGATTATGTATCGGCAAGTGGCTCGAGTGCGAAGACGCTATGAATCGATTTGATTTCATAAACCGTAATTATGAATTACCGTTATATGTAGATATGTGATTGAAATTTTTTTGCGCGGTTATCGGGGCGTACATAAGCGCTAGAAAACATGAAACCTCCAATGTCGTTTGTTTTCAAGGTCTCGGGAAGGAAACGACGCGGTTACCTTTGACCCTGTGTATTTTCCGTCGTTCGTCGGACGACGAGATCGGAGGTGCGCGGTTCTCGAGGCGTATATAGGGTGCGTTCCGTTTCACGCATGAACCGCATGAAACGCAGCGCATCGCATGAGCGCATTGTCTCGGTCCGTTTCTCACTCCTTCCCGCCTAAATAATTCTCGCGCATGGACCACGCATGGACTACATCATCTCGGGAGCTGAGGCAGCTCATGCGCTCTCATGTGCTGCACAACATAGCGCGGGATTGTGGTGGGAGAACGTTCCCATGCGCGCATGAACTGCATATGGAGTGAAACGGAACGATCTTGTGCGCTTCTATGCGCATCATGCGTGAAACGGAATGCACCCATAAGCGCGAGAAAACACGAATCTTCGCGCAATTGAATTGACAGTTTGAATATTTTGAAAGTGCGAGAACGTTGATGGTCTGAGCTCGCGCGGTACGTACATATGGAGAGAAAAAGTGCCATGGAGAGTGAACTGAAAGATAAGGAAGTTCTGATGTCGTTGTTGGACGAGCCGTTCGAAGATCAGGTCGTAGAGGTCGCACGCGCGTCGATGGATATTGAGTCGGTCAATTTCGCTTTGCTCGACGTCAAGGATATCGCGAATAAGGAAAGGCGTGCTTGGTGGAGATACGCGAAATTGCGATCTCAAATCTTGACCACTTTGTCGCGTACGGATCGCAAACGACAGTTACTGCACCAGTTTTTGGACCAAGCGGCGGACGATTTGAAGAAGATTCCCGGTGTTACGAAGGAAACGAGGAACGTCGTCTACGAAAGTGGCCGGAGTGACGAGTGAAAAAAAACATTATATTTCATAAATACGCATACTTTTTTATTACAGATGAGATCAAAAATACATATAAATGTCTACGTATCTCGAGACGAATAAATATACAAATATCCGATTTATTTTCTATCCTACGCTATTATTTCTTACTTTTCCTTATTCGTAAGATATCGGAGGAGGAGGAGGATACAAAAGTGCAGTAACGGGCAAAGTTTTGTAAGTTTTCTTTTCCCTTTATTTTAACGATAACGTGTTTACAATAATTTCTCGGTATTTCCGAAGCACAGAGCGGGCTAACTCGCAATCAACGATGTCATTGCTATCGAAAAATTCGCTCTCACGTATCGCTCTCAGGACGTTTGCGAGATCCATCACGGAGGCTGCAATAGCGATGAAACGCGTCAGCTTCGCGTCGATCATGCCGGTTATCGCGCGCAACGAGGTCACGAGGCGATTGACGCAAAGGTCGAGGTTGAACATATAGAGCACGGTGTTCATCGAAACGATCAGACGAGTCATGGATGTTTCCAGGCGTAGGGTCGACAGATTATTAATCTTTCCAAATCGTAATGTTAAATGTCCGTTTTCGATGCACATCGGTGGTGGGGCGCGCGCGTTCTTGCTACGCTGCAGATGGGACAAGACACTGCGTTTTTGATCGACGAGTTCCTTCCACGTTTCAGGCGAGAGCGAGATTTCCTTGCCGTGACAATCCCCTATGACGATGTGCACGTAGCATGGGAGTACGGCTGTGATACCGACGTCTATGAATTTGTATCCCGTTTTAGTTAATAGGTATCTTCTTTCCAGAATTTGCACCGGATGACGTTCAACGTCGCTTTTCAAAATACCGTCATCGTGACTGGAGATAAAGAAAAATTATTGTTAGATCGTAGGCGAACGATACGGGATTGTCGCGAACTCACCACGTGTTTTTCCAGGAGTCGACGTTGCTCCGATTCGAAAACGGAGTCTCTAATTCCGTCGATTGCTCGTCGACTCTTCTTCTTCTTCTTTTCACGCTACCGATACCGTTCTCGAGATCGTCGTCGTCGGATTGGCGCTGTTCGAAATACGGGGCGTGTAACGTCGAACACATCTCTCTCTCTCTTTTTTCTCCGTTGTCGCGGTGCAGTTGGCGGATCACGCGAGAATGAGTCGTTCGAGGAAAGTTGAGGCGAAGTTTAGTTTAAGAAATAAATTTACAATTCCCCTCCTTTCATTAATATTCTCAGGAGCAATATGTAAAGGGGGGGATACGTCGAATCGTTCTATTCTTCCTCTTCTCTATTCGACGTCTCCCTCGCGTCAATTCGAACGAATCGACTCAATAAATCTCGCAGTTGCATCATCAGTCCGTCTCTCGAAAAACCGACGACACGCTGTGAGGTATTTGAGGAAATATCATGTCAATGTGGTAGAACTTAACGATAGTCATCGAACAATCGTCTATCTTGCCCACAACATTATTGTTGTATATGATAAAAGATCGTCCTTCGTTCGTGTTCAGCACGGCGTTGATCTTTGCGTTCGTATCGAGAAGTCCGAGATCTGCGTGAGATCTCGGCCAAGTTGAAACTAGCTTTACACGCGGATAAGTGATCATATAGCTCATATTGCCAGCAAACAGTACGATATTGCCCGAGGGCGCCTGATACGCGGCCGTCAGACGCGTAAAATTCTTAGGAAGGAATTTCATGTAGTCCGTCAATAGCAAGGGTTTCTTATAAGTTTTCCCGTCTATATTGATCGACCATATGTATCGTTCGTGCGAGATGTACAATCGACCGTTCATTATCAGTACGGTATCCACGTTTCGCAAGGCGCACAGATCCATCTCGACGTCTTTCGTAGTCGTCGTCGTCGTCGTTGTCGTCGGTGTCGTCGTTGTGATAGTCGTTGGTGTCGTCGTCGTTGCTAGTTTTGGAAATTTAGCGTTTTTTTTAGCACCGTACAGGTGTTGAATAGAAAGAACGTCCTCTAGATTGAGTTGAACGGGGAATTGATTAACAGGAACGTACGCGAACATCACCGAATCTTCGCGGCGGCTGTGCGCCAAGCCTAAAGCATGACCGATCTCATGCGTCAGCGTCTGAAGTAAATTGTACGTTCCCGGGGGATTCTTATTCAGCTGTATGTGGCACGTCTCCGATTTGTCAACGTGCACCTCTGAGACGTAATTGGGTTCTCCGGTGAGAAAGAATGCGTGAGCGACATCTTTGTGGGGGCCGTCGAACGGAGCTGCACACAGTTCGTTTTCTTGGGAGCGTAACATCGTGTGATGTCTCTCGCGAAACGATATCAGAATATCGGGATTCAGCGAATCACGCTCGAACGTCAATGATGAATTCGCTGCCCACAGATCGAACGCGGCTCGAGCCGTTTTCAAGATCCGCTCGTTGGCCAGATGAAAGTTCCATTTGAGATGTTTCCTAGGCCATTTGTTCGAAAGCGGAGCGAACGTGCACTCCGAAATGTCCTCGACGCCGCATCGCGGTTTACGCATTCGATTCAGCGTCTCTTCGTTTAATTCACCGTCGCCGGGTAATCGATAGAATTTTTGAAACAGTGAGATGGCTCGATGTAACTCCTGCGTAGTGTTGTAGGACGATAAAAATTGCTGTGCGCCGTTGTTGTTATCCAGATACCCATATTTTTGCAGATAACTGATCACAGTCTCATTTTGATTCGATTCACAATTTACCGCCACGACGATAATAACGTAATTACGCGCGCGAGCTACATCGTCGAGAGAGAGAAAACGATACGTTTCCCTCCCCGACCCCTCGAGAAGTGATAAGCGTCACTGCCCGATCGAAGCGCGATTGACCGACGTATCGAGCAATGCGTTCCTTTTTTTTCAGCGATCGCTGCGCAGGTGGGAGGTCTCGGTAAGTCTGTAAAAATGTAAACGGATATTGCGACACAGGTCAGCGGTGTTAAGTAGTTAAATGACGTGCCGACGATGGGGCGGTTATGTAAACGTCGACGATGAATCGGGACGAAGAGACGTTGAGGTTTCTCTCGATCCCGAAATTTCGTCCGACCCGGATAGTTACGGTGACTCATTATCGTCAAACAATCTATATTGCAGCGAGTCGTTGTCGTCGTCCGACACGGACAACGTCGAATTCGACGACTCCTCGTCACTGATCGCGGCGGTGGCGTTGAAGGAGAACGCTTAATGAAATTTGACGACGTACAGTCTGAGAAGAGAGATCGGTTTTTGGTCTCTGCGTGAGGAAATGTGGATGAAGACTGTAGTGGTTCAGAGCGACAGAGCAAAGTCTTACATGCGTGGAATTCCGAGAAAATTTTCGAAGAGGGATCAAAGAAAAACGTCTATCAAGAGATTCAAGGAGATTCATCAAAGAGTTAAATTCAGTATACTTGTGGACAGCGACGGTTGGACCATGTGGATGAGCACGTGTCATGACGCGTCGAAACGTCCTTAAGCGATCAAAAATATGCAGGAGGAGGATCGCGATCTTGTCGAACTCGCCACGGGCGTCGACTCCTCGGACGCGTATCGCGAGTGAGAACGACGGTGCGGCGAGTGTCTCGCGTCTCTGCGAGAAAGATGCCGCAAAAAAGAAACTCAACCGACGTGCACCAGAACGTTGAACTCTCTTATCGCTCGAGTAGCGCGATTGGAAGAAGCGAAAAACGCTCTGCGTCAACGTTTTGCGCAGGTGGGTGCAGGCCACGGTGAACCGAGCAAAGGATTTTCGTGGACGAAAATTGAGACAGCTTTCAAGAGGCGCGTATTGACCGGTGTGGTGATAAACTCCTATCACATCGATCCTCGACTATTTCTCGAGAATGCGAGAACACGGTGTTCAAACAAGTGCGCGTCAATCATAAGAAACACGCGTGCTTGAAAGTCAATACGGTATTCAACGGCGAGTTTGTCGCGGGAGTTCAAACCGCCGTCAAAAGCATCGACATGGGAAATCGTCAGCTCTTTTCTACGTCCGATTTGCGAGAGTGGTACGACAGATACGTGATCGATGCCATTATGGCGGGTCTGGATGAGTTTCAGGAACGCGACAGTGGCTGGGGATTGTCACGTATATTGAGCCTAATGGTGAACGTAAATAAGTGCAATCCCATGCACGCCGGATATTGGGTGGAAATACCGCGATGGATAAAGCTGAAAAAAGCGGTGATCAACGTGCGTTCGAACGACAACGCGTGTTTCGCGTGGGCGATAATTTCCGCTCTGTATCCCGTTCAAAGAAACGTCGACAGGTGTAGCGTGTACCTTTACTATTCAATACTGAATATCGACGGAATCCAATTTCCTATGACGCTGAAGCAAATTTCGAGGTTCGAACGACTCAACAACGTGTCCGTCAACGTTTTCACCGTTTGGAGGAAGAAGAAGCGGAACGAAAACGAGATCGCTCCTATACGGCTCACTGACGATAAGAAGGACAGTCACGTCAATCTGTTGTATCTGTTAGATTCGCGAAACAACTCGAACGTTGGTCTTTCGTGTGGATAAAAAATCTACCGCGATTGGTGGGGTCTCAGTTGAACAGGAACAGGAAGATGAAGTACATTTGTGATCGGTAGGTATAAAAAAGATGTGTGTAAAATGAAAAAAATTATATATATATTTTTCCAGATGCTTACACTACTTTTACTTGAGCGAGAAATTGTCCGCTCACAGCGTCGACTGCGAAAAGATGAACGACTGCGCTATCGTTCTCCCAAACGACGACGACAAGTGGCTATGCTTTCGCGATCACAGTAGGAAGGAGCGACTTCCCTTCGTGATGTACGCCGATCTGGAATGCGTGTTGGAGAAAGAAGAAATAGACAACGATAACGTCAAGAGATACGCCTATCAACATCACAAAGCGTTCAGCGTGGGATACTATCTGTGCAGCCCGTACGAGATCGCGACTGATAGCGATTACAAGCACGCGCGAAATATCTGGCGTTGTTTTCGCGTGGAAAATCTTGGCAAGTACTGCGATTTGTATCTTAAAAGGGATGTGCTTCTTCTGGCGGATATCTTCGAAAATTTTCACGACGCCTGTATCGACGCTTATGGACTGGATCCCGCGTACGGCCGGGATATACGTGGGACGCGATGCTCAAGCACACGGGGGTGCGATACGAATTGCTCACCGATATCGACATGGTAATGTTCGTGGAACGCGGTGTACGCGATGATTTGAGTCAATGCTCTAATAAGTACGCGCAAGCTAACAACAAATATATGCGATCGCACGACTCTTCGCAACCGTCGACGTATCTCATGTACCTCAACGTGAACAATCTGTACAGCTGGGCGATGTGCGAACCGTTGCCGTACGCGGAGTTTCAATGGGTCGACGATGCTGAAAGTCTCGACATAATGTCCGTGACATTGGACTCCGCTATTGGTTACATCTTGGAGGTCGACCTTGCGTATCCGCATGAACTTCATGACGCTCACGCTGACTTTCCGTTCTGCCCGACGCGCGATAAGCCTCCCGGAAAACGGTGCTATAAACTCCTCGCTACTCTGTGCGATAAACCGCGCTACGTGCTGCACTACCGTAATCTACAGCAATGCGTTCGATTCGGATTCATCGCGCGCTTCGATTTGCACAATCTCCGTGGCTTCGTGGATACATAGAGCTCAATACGGGATTCAGAATTCGCGCTAGCAACAATTTCGAGAAAAGAAAGAAATGTACAAATTAATGAACAATGCGGTATTCGGCAAGACCATGGAAAACGTACGAGATCACGTTGACGTGCGTCTCGTGACGCGTTGGGATGGGAGATACGGCGCGGAGGCGAGGATCGCGAAACCGAATTTTCACAGTCGAAGCGTCTTCGCGGAGGATCTGATCGCCGTTGAGTTGCGTAAGCTCGAGGTGAGGTTGAACAAACCCATTTACGTCGGTATGTGCATTCTCGAGATATCCAAAACGTGCGTCTACGATTTTCATTACAATTACATGGTGCCGCTGCATCGCGAAAGATGTAAAATAATGTACACGGACACCGGCAGTCTCATATATTTTTATTCGAGTGCGACGACGCGTACGAGGATATGAAACGCGACACGAGCGGCTACCCCGAGAACAACGCGTACCGCATGCCGCGCGTTAATAGCAAGATACCCAGATTGATGAAGAATGAGAACGACGGCGCGGTCATGACAGAATTCGTTGGACTGAGGGCGAAGATGTACGCCTTGAAGGTCGAGGGAAAGAGCGACACGAAGAAAATAAAGGGCGTCAAGAGAAACGTGGTTGCGAAAACGATAACGTTCGACGATTACATGCATTGCTTGAGAGACGCAATAGAGCAGTCTAGGCGACAGTCGTATATTCGTTCGACGTTACACGAGGTGCACACCGTGTCCGAGTCGAAGCTCGCTCTCAGCCCGTACGACGACAAGCGATACGTCGTTTCCGGCTCGTACGACACTCTATCGTGGGGGCATTACAAAATACCGCCATGAAGAGGAACTTTTTTTCTTATCAACGTTATATTTTAGCAATAAAGTATACAATGCGTTTTATGGGCTATTATCAAGAAATAAATATATATTTTAAACTTACATTAAGGCAAATAAAAAATACATTAATTTTTTGTTAACTACAACACAGCTATCTTATTTATCCACGAGTTATGCGAACTGTCCATTTTTAGCCATTTCTCGTATACGTCGTCGCCTCGCCTGCGCAACACTTTCTCTACGAGATAAACGTCGGGGTTGGAAACTCGCAGCAACTCGTGCTCGTAAAATCCTCCGGGTATCGGTTCCCCGCGGTAGTCTTTCAACAGATACGTCACAGGATTGGTTCGTTGTATCTTAGCGACTCGGAAGATCTCGGTAGTCCAGTTGGGAGTGTAGCCGCTTTTGCTCTTGAGCGGTAACGCACACGCGTACTTGCTCAACACATCGATAACCGTTAGTATGTAGTAGTAACCCTTGTTGTGTCGCGCGTAGGGACGCATCTCGACCACGTTGGCCTGCCACGTTGGCCTGCCAATCGTCGTAACCGCGCATCACGACGCGACGTCTCGGGAAGTTTCTCCGCGCCGGTGCGTGCAGCTCCTCCACGAGTCTCCGCTTCTCGGCATTCATCGTTGCGCGCGTGTATTCCTCTCTCGACAGCGCGAAAAAATAGACGGCTCATCTACCTCCTTATTGACCTTTTCCCCTGTTACCGCGAATGTTTGTTTTCATTATCGCTATCTCTCTCTCGAACGATTCCTTCGTCACCATCGCTGTTTCAATCTCGTGGAATTTGGCTAGAAAATCGTTCATCGCGAATCTCAGTCCGTTCATGACGCTGTTTATCTGATTTACGTCGTTTCTCAAAAAATTCGTCTTGCCCGTCGTTTCTTCTATGGCGTTCTGCGCGCCGAGTATCTACTCCGTCTGCGTGGATTTAGAGTTTTCCAAGTTCTGTATCTGGTTTTCAGTCTCCTTGAACTTGGTTAGAAACTCGTTCATCGTGATTCTGAGTCCACTCATGACGTTGTTTTCAG